AATGTAAAAAAAAATTGTGCCCTCAAATATAAATTAAATCAAATCCTTTGTTTTAAAATTTCCAAATCTTTTCAGTATGTTAAACAAAAATACTTCGAATTTGGTGATAAACCACAAAAACTTTTAGCTAGGCAACTACGTAAAACAGCATCCGAATGAACAATATACAAAATCAAATCAAACACAGGAGAATTTCTTACTTCTTCTAGGGAAATAGTAAATTTCAGATGTTTTATGAGCCATATAATTTGTCTGAAGGAAATATAGATTCTACAGTTATAGCTCAGCTTCTAGTTCAACAAAATCTTCCCTCATTAAGTCAAGAGCAAGTTAAGGAGTTAGGAGATGAAATTACAACTGAAGAAATATCAGTTACTATAAAATCTGTAAAAGGATATAAAACTCCTGGTCCAGATTTTGTAATGAGTTCTATAAAGCCTGCATTGATTTACTATCACCTTATTTATATAGGGTTTATAAACAGGCATTTATAGAGCAGTCTCTGCCATCCACCTTAAATGAAGCAATTATTACTGTAATCCCTAAAAAAGGGCGAAACCCAGAATAAGTGAGTTCTTATAGACCAATTTCTCTCCTAAACTCGGATCAAAAATTCAAAAACTTTGGCATGCAGGCTAATTAAAGTTATTAGAAACTTAGAACATCCAGATCAAAATGAATTCATACCAAAACGTAAGTCTTCTTCTAATCTTAGCCATCTTTTCAACATAATTTACTTTTCCAATGCCTCGCAGCAAGATCTAGCCATTCTATGATTGGATGCAGAGAAGGCATTCGATCACATTGATTGGCCTTACCTTTTTGCCTTATTGAAGAAGTTTAATCTCAGAGATAATTTCCTTTCATAGATTAAATTGTTGTACTCCAAAGCATGTGCAAGAATTCTCATGAATTACACAGAGGTACAAGACAGGGGTGTCCACTCTCACCACTTTTGTTTACATTACCGATTGAGCCTTAAGCGGAGACAATTAGAACAAATACTGGAATTAAAGGCTATAAAACCTACTGTACTGATAATAAACTAGCATTATACGCAAATTAAGTAATTTTATTTATTTTTAAACCCAACAATAACATTCTAAATATTCTTAATTTGATTAATCACTACGGTACATTTTCAGGGTATAAAATTAACTGGGACAAGAGTGTGCTGAGGCCAGTCACGATTAAAGATTCTTCTTGGCTTCAGCATTTGCCCTTTAAAACTGCTTCAGAACAATTCACATATCTAGGAATTGAGGTGATAAAAAAAAGTTTTGTGACTTAATTAAGGCCATTTTCAACCCCTGTTGTCTAAACTTAAATCTATGATCAATTTCTGGAGAACACTTCCTATTTCTTTTGTGGGTAGGGTAAATGCAATAAAGATGATATTTCTCCTGCAATTTTTGCATCTAGTGCAGAATATTCCTGCCCAAATCTTTTTTTTTTTTTTTAATCTGGACTCTATCCTGATTCTCTTTGTTTGAAATTGTAAAGCCCAAAGGATTTTTAAACACCACCTATGTAGGCCCAAACTGCAAGGAGGGCTTGCCCTACCTAATTTTCTTTATTATAATTGGGCTGCAAACCTTAGGGCTTTGACTTCATGGATAGACTTTATTCCAATGGGAAAGAATTGGTTTCTGTTGGAGTAGGAAGAATGTCTCCCATATTCAATTAATGCAATACTTTTATCACCTAAAGGTATAACTAGTTCATTTTAGAATCATAACCCTGTCATTCATAATTCTGTTCGTATTTAGAAGCAGTTAAAGAGACTCATTTCAAATTCACCCAAATGTCGTTTTTGCTCTCCATCTTAGCTAACCCCGCTTTTCACCCTGCGATGTTAGATAATGCATTCGAGTTTTGAAAAAGTGTAGGACTACAAAACGTAGGGGATTTATGTGGATGAAAAATTAGCTTCATTACAGCAGCTGTGTGAGAAATACAGTATTCCTTCTAATCACTTCTTAAGATACCTTCAATTAAGAGACTTTGTGAAGTCTAACATTTATAATTATGCCACAGCGTCACCCATACGTCTGGTCACATTTCTGGAAAGATGTTTAAGAAATGGTAGTACCATTTCCTTGCTTTACAAGGGTTTAGGACAGATGAAAAGTCAATCTACGGAGAACATTAAATCTGCTTGGGAAGAAGAACTTGCAGTAGAAATTCCAAGAGAAATTTGGGAACAAAGTCTTGAACTGGTTCACAGATGTTCTATTAATATATGACATTGTCTAATACATTGTCATATATTGTCACTGACATTGTCTAATACAGTTTAGTATTAAGTAGGGATGTAACGGTATCAGAATTTCACGGTACGGTAATACCTCGGTATGAATGTCACGGTACGGTATTTATTGAATCATTTACAGGAAAAAAAAAACTTTTGAAAATACTCCAAAAAAGTGCCAAAAGTGTCAATGACATACAAATTAGCCATCTATCTGTTAGCTTTGAAACAGGAACTTCAATTTTAATAACAAAAAATTATTAAACCATGTAAAAAAATAAAGTTTCAATTTAGTATTGTTGAAAACTCATCACATTTAACATTTAATCACTCACTTAGATAGAGATGGGTTTAAAGAAAAATTATCATATATTTATAATCTGGTAAAAGCTGGTATCTCTGGGTATTTACAATGTCCCCTGCAACAGAAAAAACCCCTCTCATTTGGGACTGAGGTTTCTGGGACAAGAGAGATATGACTTGGCCCATGTTGACAGCAGTGGGTAACGTTGTGCATTGTCTTTCCCCCACTTGAGAAGACAAACCATGAGTGAGATAGAGGTCTCTTTGCGGTACAAGTCAATGTCTGCATCAATCTGAACAGTGTGCTGTGTTTCTGCAGTCCCCATGACTGTTATCAGTCGTGTTCCCCAACTTGCAGGCACGTGCACACATAGGGCTCAACCTGTGCAGTGCACATGCCCTTTTTAGTCTTGGATAGAAAATGCCCTTCCAAAACGATCAAAAGTGCCCCCGCGACGCGACACAACCTCCGTCCAGTCTAGCCCTTCAGTAGGCGCGACAACACCTCTCTTGAGTATGCGCGCTCAACCCCCCCTCGGCGCTTTACAATACGCGCGCCACAACACAGCTGATCAGAACGCGCGCGACAGCACCGCTATTCAGCACGCGCGCGGCGACAACACCCGCTTTAGGTTCGATCATTTCCATCTTTTTTTCATCTCCGCTACTAGCAGCACACTCCATTTCCGCATTACTGGATCTGTAGCGACAACAGACCGCAAAGGATTATGGCCACGCCGGGGCTGATGGGAAATGAAGTTTCAGCTACCTCCCGTTCACTTCATTCGCCTGAGCAAATTTTCTCTGAAGACCTATAGTTTTACCGAGTCATGCGACTTCGGTAATATCGAAAAAATTTAATATTGCGGTATGACGGTATTTACAATACCGTTACATCCCTAGTATTAAGTGCTTCATAGGCTTTATTATTCCAAGTGTAAATTGAATTAAATATTTCCAGAAGAGTCCCCAGTGTGTGACAAATGTCAGTTCTTAGATTCTAACCTGTCTCATTCCTATATTATGTGTACCAAATTACAGAGTTTCTGGAACAAAATATTTCAAGTGTTTTTAGTTACATTAGACATTCTGAAGAATTTTTGAGACTTACACATGTACAACAACAGTTTGTTTCATATGGGTTGATCTCTAATAAAAAATAAAAAAAAACTCATCCTTTTGTTTTGGAAGAAAAAAGAAGTTCCAACTCTTAAATTATGGCTGACAAAGTTAACAGGTACACTACATCTGGAATAAAATAAGATAGACCCTAATAGACAAGGTTTTGTCATTTGAAAAAATGTGGTCCCTTTTTATTTCCTTTTTACAAACTTGTAATTAATATGTTTACTATGCCTGTAGTACCTAAATTTATTGTTGGATAGCACTGGTGGGTAGTTGGTTGGGGGAATGCATGTTTATTTTATTATTATTTTTTATTATTATTATTTTTATGACTGTTGTTTGTTGTTGTTTTTTATTATTATTTTATTTTTGAATGTCTAATTGTTTGAATGCAAGTTTTATGTTTATGTTAAAAAAAGGTGTGTTTTCAAGTAAATGTCTGTGAAAATTTCTAATAATAAAAATATTGAAACCAAAAAAATAAATAAAATAAAAGATAAAACAAACTACGCTGAGGGGGAAAACATACAAAACATAAAAATTATCAAAACAAACTAGACCGGGCAGGCTGGCAAAGATCAGGGCTAGAAGACAGGACAAGGCAGGATACGAAGATAAACTGACACTGGACCGCAGACATGAGAATATAAGCAGAAAATAATTACCACACAAACATGTGAACATAATAAACTAATAATGGGTTAACAAGGAGGGTGAGACTAGACTATAGATGGGAGAGCACATGACAAAAGAAAACACCACAAGCCATGTGCTCACATAAAACGGGACAAGAACACGCAGCCAATGACAGAACTCATTAATCGCGTGTTCACAAGGCAACACTGAAACACACGGCCACAATGTAAACACTGAGCCATGTGCTTAGACAACACCACAATAAACAGACACAAGACACAAGCATGGCGACGTAGTGGCGCAGTAGGTTGTGCTGTCACCTCACAGAAAGAAGGTTGCTGGTTCCTCGGCTGGGCCAGTTGCCGTTTCTGTGTGGAGTTTGCATGTTCGCCCTGCGTTTGCGTGGGTTTCCTCCGGGTGCTCCGGTTTTCCCCACAGTCCAAAGACATGCGGTACAGGTGAATTGGTATAGGCTAAATTGTCCATAGTGTAAGTGTGTAAATAAGTGTGTGTGTATGTTTCCAAGAGATGGGCTGCGGCTGGAAGCTTATCCGCTGCGTAAAACGTGCTGGATTAGTTGGCGGTTCATTTCGCTGTGGAAACCCCGGATTAATAAAGGGACTAAGGCGAAAAGAAAATGAAGGAATGAATGAAGACATAAGCACACAATGAATGAAAACACTTTACCGTGCACTCACACATATGCAGCGCGCATGTTTCATTTCAGCGCCAACCAAAACCTAAACCAACCAGACTGAGACACTGAGAATGAAACAGCGTGATGCCGACAAAACAAAACATGAGTACAAGAGTGCGCGTCCCAGCAAGACACCCCATCATACTTTGTGGCATTTCACAATGTAAAAGTGTGGCAGCATTTATTTCATAGAAACATTATTTTATTTTACCTCAGTATCTCCAGATTACAGTTTGGACTCTTCAGTCCATCAGAGAGAAGCTTCACTCCTGAATCCTGCAGGTCATTGTCACTCAGGTCCAGCTCTCTCAGGACACAGTTTGGGGATTGTAGAGCCAAAGACAAACTCTCACAAGAATCCACAGTGAGTTTACACATGACAAATCTGAGAAATAACAAACATAAATCAAATGTACAGTGTATTTTTTAGCCATTCATCTAATGTAAATAATTATTATAATCAATCAGTCAATAACAATGTTTCCCCTGCCCTTATATTAGGGGGGCGCCCGCCCTCCCAACGGCTGTCCCTGCCCCCATTTATTATTGTATTAATTAGAATAGGCAAATATGGGCATTGCCCCCTTAAAAGTTAAACCATTCATGGTCTAATCCTTCTAACTTACTGCCTTTATCAGATAGCCTCGAGTCCAACCCAGGCAGCAGTGGCGCTTCTATGGTTTTCTGACTGGTTACCTGACCTCTATCTCAGGCCACTGCTGTGGGCTCTTCCAGAATCTGACCATCCAGGAGGTTGAAGAGACCTCCAGAAGCCCGGACGAGTCTATGTCATTAACATGAGTGTGGCTCTATGGTAGTGATAGGTCGTTCTTGAATGATTCGTTAATTTTGAACGAATCTTTTATATGACTCAGGAACTACGAGTCCTCTGAGGGAGTGATTGGTTCATCCGTGCGTGCGCACATCTGTGCAGGAAGTATTGTTAATTTCAAGTCTTTTAAGTCGTTTATCGCAGAAAGGCAAAAGCCAATCGTTTGCGTTTAGAGCTGGAAAAAGAATTGATCCGTTCATCTCTCGAGTCCACTATAAGGTTTAAGTCATTCATTTTTCTTACTTGACTTGACACTACAGCGGAATTGGATGTAGAAATTAGTAAATGGTTCTAAATCCTCTTTAAAGACGGGTGCATGATAATCATTAATTGTTATAATATTATTATTACTAATAATATTATAAATTAAATATATTATATATATATTATTATTATTATGTGCATTTCTGATCTTAAACTGTAGCTTCACTGTACTTTGCAACAAGAACCTCAGGCATATTATGTAAAACTGAATTTTTGTTGCATCATGGATCATATTTTAGACTTTTCATAAAATCATCAAACAATGTATACCAAAAAAAGCATTTTCTTAGAAATAAAAAAGGTCTGTCCTACTGTCACTAAGTTATTGTTACTGTTTTTCTGCTGAATATGTGGTTTTTATATTTTGTTATTTTACAAACAACTGGAACTATGCTTTAATATATATATATATATATGTATGTATGTGTATATATATATATATATATATATATATATATATATATATATATATATATATATATATATATATATATATATATATTGTTTTGTCTATTTGCTGCCTTGCTTGCAGACAACAAACACTAAGCTAGGCTATATGATAAGTTAATCAAATTCTACACTTACAGGTGATTTGTAATTTGTTCATTTATACCGCATTTTTTGTTTAATAATGGTTTTCTATGCAGACTTTATGTATTGGTCTAATATTTATATAAAAAAAGATTGCATTTGCATTTACTCATTTAGCAGAAGCTTTTAAGTAAGTAATAAGTAATGGCAAAAGAAGTGCTTTATGAGCTCACAGATCAAGGTGCACCTCTGAAAGAATCTAGTGGACTCAGAAACTGCTCCAAACAAATTAATGCTTAATTCATTCGCTGTGGAGACCCCTGCTAAATTAGGGACTAAGCTGAAGTCAAATGATTGGATGAATTGTTTTCTGTAAAGCTGCTTCTGGCCATGACACATTCACATCTAAATGGTCATAAGAGAGGTGTTTAAAAAATTATATGTAGCAGTGGCAGTTCTAGGGGGGGGCCGGTGCCCCCGTGTCAACAAGCTTGGCCCCCCTAAATTTGGACACGTGCCATCGGTGGCACGCAGTCGTATGGCGCACACTCGCTCTCTCTGCTTTCACACACTTTCTCGCTCTCTCTCTCTCTGTCAGTGATTGTGCTGCACACTTCAGTTTCCCACATTTGTCAGAAGTTAACCCCCAAATTGACACAGGTTATAAAACTATTCATCTTTAGTCATGTTTATTTTGTGAAACACTATCGAAATGTCCACTGATGATATTAGGCTTGTGTTTTCAATAGTGATTTCAAAACTTTTATTATAGGAAGTGCTTGGATATGCAGAGGCTATTATTATTCAGAAATTGACTGTACATAGTTTTACGTTAGGAAATGCAGTCTTTAACTTACAAACGGCAAGTACAGGAGAACAGATGAACAAGTGATCCAGTTTAGTTTTCAGTCACGCTCATGTATAAGTCATATTCAACTCATTTAGTTTTGCCTTTATTCGTTTTTGATTGACATAAGCAAGAGTCTTCAAGACATGATTTATTACATGTTTTTAAACAAAATAGTTTAACTAACCAATTTTTTAATAACTACTTTCTGCCTTTCCCATGGTGACAGTGCATGATATTTTACTAGTTATTTAGCAAGATAGTTGTATATAAAGTCCCTTTAAGTAATTTAGTCTTTGATTCAGATTAAAGTGTAATTTAAAGACTTAATTAGGTTATGTTAACTATGAAAGTTGCAATGATTAGTCAAGTTATTGTATAACTGGTTTGTTGTGTAGATGATAAATAAAATATACAGTAATTCTTTCTTAAAGAAGCTATTCAAGCTAATACCACTAACTTAAAATAGTTTTTTTTTATTTAAAACTGCTTTTATTCAAAAAATTAACTATAAGAAATAACACTTAATATGACGCCATATTAATTATTTGTGTTTTATAGGAAATACTGTGAAAATCTCCTTGGTTTGATTTGGATCACTTGGGAAACATCATTTTAAATTATTGGGAGGGCAAAAAAATTGACTCCAACTGCATCTGTTAAAGTTTACAGGTGTGCCTTGCTGTACTTGAATGTTAGAAATGTGTTATTCTATGATACAAAGTTACTTGTCAAATAAATGAACACTAAAGATTATTTTCGAGTTTATGTTATTTAATTAGCTTATTTATGAGTGTATGGGTGTTTCCCAGTGATGGGTTGCAGCTGGAAGGTCATCCGCTGTGTAAAACATATGCTGGATAAGTTGGTGGTTGATTCTGCTGTGGGGACCCCAGATTAATAAAGGGACTAAGCAGAAAAGAAAATTAATAAATGAATGTTTATGAAGACTGCAGAGTGATGCATAAAAAAATGACTGAATAATTGTTTAAATAGTTTGTGATGGATGTTGTGCCCCCTAAAAGTAGAAGTGGCGCTACACACCCAATCCCCTCGGCCACCACACCTACCCCAACACCCTCCACCCCACCCCTACCATCACTCGCCCACCCCTCACCCCCACCATTACTCGCCCACCCCCCACCCTTCCCACAAAACTGTAAACTGTTTGAGCTCAGACCTTAGTGTCTCCAGTTTACAGTTTGGACTCTTCAGTTCATCAAAAAGATGTTTCACTCCTGAATCCTGCAGGTCATTGTCACTCAGGTCCAGTTCTCTCAGGACACAGTTTGAGGACTGTAGAGCTGAAGACAAACTCTCACAAGAATCCACAGTGAGTTTACACATGACAAATCTGAGAAATAAGAAAATATATCAGAAATAAAAATTTAATTTTTAGTAATTTATCTGATGTAAGTAATAGTTATAATCAATCAATCAATCAATCAGGTTTTTGAACTCAAACCTCAGTATCTCCAGTTTACAGTTTGGGCTCTTCAGTCCATCAGAGAGAAGCTTCACTCCTGAATCCTGCAGGTCATTATCACCCAGGTCCAGCTCTCTCAGGACACAGTTTGAGGATTGTAGAGCTGAAGACAAACTCTTACAAGAATTCACAGTGAGTTTACACATGAAAAATCTGAGAAATAAGAAAACAAATCAAAAATAAAATTGTAATTTTTAGTCATTCATCTGATTTAAGGAATAATTACAATCAATCAATCAATCAATCAATCAGGTGTTTGTAACTCAAACCTTAGTGTCTCCAGTTTACAGTTTGGGTCCTTTAGTCCATCAGAGAGAAGCTTCACTCCTGAATCCTGCAGGTCATTGTTACTCAGGTCCAGCTCTCTCAGGACACAGTTTGACGATTGTAGAGCTGAAGACAAACTCTTACAGGACTGAGCAGTGAGATTACAGCACTGTAGGCTGTGAGGAAAAACAGAAATGATGATTTTGCATTTATCTAGCAGGGGTAATCCAGAGTAGAGACAAAAACAATTGAACAGTGTGTTTTTGTTTGAGCTAAGGTAAAATCACCATGTGGACTAAAATAAACATAAAATTATTCTTTAGCTAACAATTCACAAGCCAATATTTTCCTTTCCTTTTCCAAGCTCATGTTAACAGATTAGAGATTTCATCACATCATCTATATTTAAACAATTAAATGTGTTAACAGAAAAAGAAGAGATTATATTATTGTAATGTGTAAAAAGAGAATCAAAGCATTGAAAAGAATTTCTGAAAATGGAGAACAGATATTGTATACAAGGAGAACAGATATTGTATACAGCAGGAGATCAGTAATACATGTTTGATGTGAAAGCACAAATAGTCTGTGCTGTTTCTGTACTGCATGCATATGACTCATGGGTTGCAGATGTGTTGCAAATCGATGAGTGAACTGGGCATAAGTGTATACAGAAAACTCTTACAGTGCTCTTCTGGTGTTTTTGACCACTGGCATCAGTCTCATCAGTGCTTCTTCAGATCTTCTGTATTTCTGCAGTTCAAACTTCTCTTGAGTCTCTTCTGACATCAGGAGCACAAACATCAGACCCGACCACTGAGCGGAGGACATATCCTGTGTTGTAAGATATCCAGAGCTCAGACTCTTCTGGAGTTCCTCCACAAAGTCATCTTTCAGTTCATTCAGACAGTGGAAGAGGTTGATGGCTCTCTCTGCTGATTTCTCCTTCTCTATTTTCTTTTTGATATAGTCAGTCGTGTCTTTGATGTTCTCAGTTTTGAGCTCCATGCCTGGCAGGAGCTCCTTCAGGTCACTCTGATTAGACTCCAGAGAGAGACCCAGCAGGAACCGGAGGAAAAGGTCTAGGTGTCCGTTCTTGCTTTGTAAAGTCTTCTCGACTGCATCCTTATGAAGTTTAAACAGTGTCTTTGTAGAGAGTTTCCATGTCAGTTCCTTTTTCCAGGAATCAAGAAACAGATTTTCTTTCTTGTCATTGTAAGTGAAAAACACATAGAGAGCAGCAATGAACTCCTGAACGCTGAGATGTACAAAACTGTAAACCTGTTCCCCTGAAACTGGGTTTTCTTCCTGAAACATTCGAGTGCATAATCCAGAGAACAAAGACCCTTCCTTGACATCGAGTCCACACTTCTGCAGATCTGTTTTGTAGAAAATGAGTTTTCCTTCCAGCAGCTGTTTAAAAGCCAGTTTCCCAAGCTTCAGAACAATGTCAATAAAAGACCAGGCATTGGCTTCAGGTTCAGAACCGTTGCTGTATTTTTCTTTCATCTGTTGCTTTTGAGACAGTAAGAAGTTGGTGTACATCTCTGTAAGAGTTGTGGGTGTTTTTTCATTGCTCTCTTGACCCAGCAAACGCTGAAGAACAGTGAGAGAGATCCAGCAGAAGACCGGGATGTGGCACATGATATACAGACTCCGGGATTTCTTGATGTGGCTGATGATGTTTCCGGCAACCTCAGGACTGCTGTTTTTGATGAAGTACTGCTCCTTCTGCTCATCATTGAATCCTCGCACCTCCGTCACCTGATCAATGTAGTTTTGGGGTATCAGACTGGCTGCAGCTGGTCTGGATGTGATCCAGATGAGGGAAGAGCGTAGCAGTTGTCTCTTTAAGAGATGTGTTACTATCTTGCTCACTGTCATTTCCTTATGAACATCTGTAAAGCCATCATTCTCTTTAAAGTTCATTTCAAAGCGATATTCATCCAGTCCATCAAAGATGAACATGACCTTGCCTTGTTCTTCAGGAAGAGACCAAAGTCCCCCACTGCTAAAGAAGTATTTGTTAAGCAGACCTATGAGACTGTACTTTTCCTCTTTAATCAGATTCAGGCTCCGGAATGGCAGTGGAAATATGAAGACTATTTCCTGATTGTCTTTTCCTTCAGCCCAGTCTAGGATGAATTTGCTGACAGAGATAGTCTTCCCCACTCCTGCGATCCCCAGTGTCAGGACTCTTTTGTTTTGTTCGGTGTTAGGCTGAACTTTAAACATGTCATTACACTTGAGTGGTTTATCCTTGGCTGTCTGTTGGTTGTGTTTTGACTCTATCTGTATCACCTCATGGTCATTTTCTCTTCCTCCAGTTTCGTTCTCCACCACATATAGATCAGTGTAAATGTCATCCAGGTACTTCTTACGATCTATCTGTGAATTACCAATCAATATCTGCTTGTATTCCTCCTTTAAGTTCTTCTTTAGTTCATGGCTGGTGTTTGTGTAATCAACAGGAGGGGATTTACAGTTCTCTAAAGCTGCACCTTTACAAGAGAGAGGAAAAGTAGTTTTTTATTAAAGTGAAACATAATTATGTCCTGTGCTTCCCAATACAAAAAAATAACAATTGCACTCATGAAGTCATTTGTTTCAACATTTAAATTAAGTGACAACCTGTATGGTAACTTGAATGAGCAGAGGTAGGTGATTTGACTTAAATCTTATATGATTACTCAGAAAAATGCAGGATGTTTCAAAAATAATTCTCCATAATTAAAATGTGCCTATAACAGTTTTCTTTTTTTTTTATTACTTCATACTCTGCTGATTATCTGCTGTCTCAATGTTTCCTAACCTTACTTTTTTTTTTTTTAGAAGAACGACTGTCTGCAAACAAAACATACAAACAAATATAGAGATATTTTATTTTTTTAAAGAAAAAAAAAATGGAATAAAAATAATTAGAAAATGGCACTTTCATTTGAAGAAGAAAAGGTACAGGGGCTTAAGCTCTCCAAAGCAAGATCCAAGGACAACTCCAACCCACTAGGCAGAAATGTCAGAACAGCTTTTTTTTAGATTTGTAATGTTTGCTGTGTGTTATCCTTTCAAAATGCAAGTTAGTGAATGTGTCATGGATGGATGACGTCCAACTTCAGACTAGCTTTCTTGTGGTCCATGTTTGGGGTTTCTTTATTGTTGTACAGTTTAAAATTATGAACACTGAGATCCTAAAGTCTGACATGAGAATCATGTTCATGAAGAAACTACAAACATATAGGATTATTTTTTTAAAATGCATGGTGTGAGATGGCTTTACAATGTGTTCTTGTTCCAGTAACGTTTATTTTACAAGTTATCTTTGTTCTTGTTTTCCTTTGCTCAACTCTATATTCCATATTTGTTCATTCTCTCTGTGCAAATGAGTAATAAATTATTGTTTTTATAGTCTTTTATTTATTATTATTTTTTTGTGTGTGTGTGCTCCTGGGATGGAGGTCTTCTCTCTTTGTAAAGCATAAATTGTGTAAAAGGCTTGATAGAGATTTAGCAGTTGGACTATGATTCTGCTAATGCTCAATTATTTCAACAGCCATGCAGACTCCTGATGACAGAAAATGAGGGGCTACTTTACAGAAATCCAATTCTTAAACAAAGTTTGATGAGAGTAGTATTCATTCATTTTCTTTTCGGCTTAGTGCCTTTATTAATCTGGGGTCGCCACAGCAGAATGAACCACTAACTTATCCAGCACATGTTTTACGCACAGATGTCCTTCCAGCTGAAATCCATCTTTGGGAAACATCCATACACACTCATTCACACTCATACACTACGGACAATTTACGGACAGTATGAGCTGGCTTCCTGTTTTACAACTTTTTCTAAACTTCTTCGTTCTTGTTTTCTTTTTATTATTAACATAGTTATGTCTTGCGCTTCCCATTTCAAAAAAGAACAACTGCACATATAATTAAATTAACAAATTCAGATGAACAAAGACAAACAATATATTCACCTACATTAGTTACATACATAATATTAAATATATTTAAAAACCATTGCTAAGACAGGGTTTTAACATGAAAGATTTAAACTGAAAATGATCACATTTGTAAATTTTGACAAGCAATTAAACAATACCTTGCTTCTGTATGTTCTCCAGCTCTTCAGCCAATTCATTCTGTTTTATTTTCCTCAGGGTGTCCACTGTGATCTTCACAGCTCTTTCTGGTCCAAAACATGACACCAACTTATCCACTGTCTTCAACCTGTCTGCATTCTCCATTTCAGCTTTTGAAATATCTCTATGGTGATTTACTAAGCACCACTGAAACTTCTTTAGTTCAGCTTCTAACAGTCCATTCAATGAGTTGTCGAGCAGCTGTTTAACATTCGCCATGGTGCTTCACCCATTCACAGCTAAAGGACAAGAGTAACAACATCTGAATTAGTTTCACAATTAACATCCAAACCTAAGCAATTATTTATTATTTTAAAAATGAAATTACCATGTGAGTAGAAACTTGTCTTTTCAAAAAGCTGCCTTTTGAAAATTGATTGTCATTATTTTACGTGGCTCTAACTAACCAGGAATAGTGTAGTTGTTTGTTTGTCTACCTAACTTGTGTCTTGCGCAAAAGCTCTGTAACTCTTCTTCCTGTTTCAGCATGCAGGAGTGTTTATTTAGATGTTCAACTGGTTAAACCACAACGATTTTAGAAAACTAATAAAACCAGTTTTAGAAAAGCCTTTAGATGACAGATGAGACCAGTGGAGAACCCTTTCTAAATGAATAGATCATTACAGAGTCCGCTTGGCCGAGCGAGCGAGGTCTGGTTATATTTATTTGGTCAAATTAACAGTAAGTTAATTCATAATATTACTAATTAATAATAACTCATTATTAATGATAATTAATATTCATAAACTGAGCTAATTTCGCTACATTTACTAATCTATTATTATTTCTTATATGTTGCAAAATAACTGAATTTAACCTACATTACATATATTTTATTAACTAAATTACTATTTTACAAATTTTATTATTATTTACCATGTCTAACCATTACCATTAATACTCTGCCTAAAGCGCAATGCCTCATGGGTTTATTAATTTCACTGCAATCATGACACACCAAATCTGGCTTTCAGACAATGGCCAAACATTGCACCATAGCTGGCCCAGTTCAGGGCAAGTTATAGGTAATTAACTTGACTGAGACTAGGCCTTGATATAGTCCATGTTTGGCCCTTATATGGAAGCTAGACTTGGTTCAGTTATCTACTGTAATTCACTGCGGCATGTGGGCCAAGCAAAACCTGAATTAAACCTGAAACACTGGGCAAGAGAAATTTTGCTTTGTGGGTACATATCATCCACCAAGTGCAGGCAGTCATTACAAAACCTTGATAATTTAGCAGTTGGTTAGAAAACATGAATATGTTTGAGCTTCCTGAAGTCAGTGGGTACACAGGCAATCTGAGACTGCATGCATGCTTTTTTAATGTGTACAGCTAACATTGCTCTTAACCCTACCCCTCACAGTGACGTCATGAGTGGATGATTATTGCTTATTAATGAACTTGTACAACCCATTCAAGTGCTGAAAATGATTCAGACTTGCAAGACAGATATGATCCAGCATTCATAAAAGTATCATAAACTTTATTTTTTTGTTGGTTTTATTGGAAATACAAAAGTTGGACCGACCGATGCAATTACATGATCTGCACACTGGTAATATTCATTTATGCATATGTAACAAAGTTATATTTTTCATTGTGAATCCTCCTGAATTATGCAGCAGTTATGTGTTTTATAGAGTAAGGGCGCCCTCATGTGGTTTAATTGGGTACCGCAGACATACAAGTTAGACAGGAAGTGACCTAGCGCAGCAGATGCTGTGAGACAGCCATGCTGTGGGTAGGTGTTTTTCATGCTCCGTCTTAGTTAATTAATATTAGCTTAAGAAAGTAGCGATTTCAAACATTTAGTTTATAATTTGGTTATATTATCATTAAGCATTAAGTTTGACTTGTGACATGTAATTTTTGTAAGTTAAATGGCTTTTTGTAAATGTCTACTGGATTGTGCTCTTTAGCAAGGCCATGCGGTATATTTGATTTTCTATTTTATTTAGATGTTGTATGTCTGGAGCAAGCGATCCACTTAAAAGGGCTGTACTGTTTATTATTTCAGGTATGTCAATGTTTATTTGTTAATTGTAATTATGTTTTATGCAAAATGTTCATATAATTATCAGTTCATATATGGATATTAATGATGTAACGGCAGATGATGTGAGACAGCCATGCTGTGGATGTTGTATGTCTGCAGCAAGCAATCCACTAAAAAGTGCTGTACTGTTTATTATTTCAGTATATCAGTAAAAAGGATTAGTCAAATAATGTGTCCGGGCCTTCATTTAAGAGCATTGCACACAACGCAGAGGAAGAAGAGTTGAAGGTCCGGAGACGTTAAACATACCTGTGGGCCAATTTATTTTAAATAAGCATGTCAACCTTTGATTATGTTGCAGACATTCTCAGAGCACAAGCAACAGACTGCAGTTATTAACCAGAGGCGCAGTCATTTCAAATAAATATCCTGTAATAGTAGGTCTAATATTAATCATTCTTGTTTTGCATGGGTGCTTGTTTTGAAATCCATATTAAATTGTTTCAATACCCTGATGTTTAAGAAACATTATGTAATAAATGAGGCAGTCTCATTCATTCCACCACCAGGGAAAGCTCTCTCCAGTATATTGACTCTGCACTTCCTCGGTGGTACTTCCAGTTACCACCATATATAAACAAACCATGTGTACCTTCTCCAGTTCCACTGCCTTAACAGAGCGTTTTTTTTTTTTTTTTTACTATTGTGTTTGCCTTGTTGTTTTGATCATTTGCCTGCTTTTTGACCATTGCTTCTTTGGATTTTGGACTCAGCTTGTTTGCCTATTTTGGACTGCCTTATCGTTTGTACTCTTCGGACATCTTTGCCTACTGCACAGTGCTCAAACGACACAGCTTGAAGACCAACATCGAATCTACAAACCTTCTGGAATACAACTTTACCAACAAGAGGGGAATTATCAACTAAACAATCCTCCCACCACCAGCTGTTTACATTCCTGAGACGGGAAATAACTGAAAATGGCACTGGAACAGCCATTTATCAGTGGACCGCTCCCTGCAAAAAGGGACAAATATGTTTTCAAGGCTCCTTGGTCTAAATGCATGGCTGCAGAAAAGATGTAACAGGAAAGGATTGAATTTCATCGACAACTTTAATCTCTTCTGGAACCAAAGACAACTGTTTACATCAGGTGACCTGTGTGTGGTCTGTCAGAAAGAGATGCATAAATGAGAACACTGGTGAGCAGTTTATAATGGACATATCGCTAGCACCAAGTATATCTGCTGTTGATTCTCTCCTTGATTTGTTAAACTCTATAGTTAAGAATGTCATAGATGAAATTGCTCCAGTTAAAATCAGAAAGATGACTGGCAGACAGAAAGCACAATCAGCAATTCAAAATGATGAAAAGAAAAGCTGAGCATATGTGGAGGAAGACAAAACTAGTAGTCCATTTTAATATTTATAAAGACAATCCTTCGTGTTTTTAATGTGGAACTAAACACTGCTAGGCAGACTTTCTTTTCAAGACTTATAAACAGCAATGTAAATAATGCTTATACTCTCTTTGTAATGATAGACTCACAAACCACCCCAGTAGGACTCCCAGTGAGCTACTCTCTGAAAGCAAATGTAATGAGTTTGCTCATTTTTTTACTGATCAGATCAGTATCAGAAAGGCATTCAGCTTATCCAATCAGCCAAGTTGTGTTGACGTCAGACAACCTAAACCACAACTTAAGAAATCAGACATCATGTCTGATTTTATGGTAATTAGTGGTAACATCTTAGAAGAGACCATGCAAGGTATGAAAACATCAACCTGCAGTCTTGAAGGGAGAGGTTACTATGTCAGAATAGGTGACCACAAGTCGAGGTGGACACCCATGACATGTGGAGTACCACAAGGGTCGATTCTGGCACCTTTCCTGTTCAACCTTTATATGCTCCTTCTTAGCCAAATAATGAGAAAGAACCAAATCTCCTACCACATCTATGCTGATGACGCTCAGATCTACTTAGCCTTACTGCCTAATGACTACAGCCCCATTGACACCCTCTGCCAATGCATTGATAAAATTATTTGGATGTGCTAAAACTTTCTTCATTTAAACAAAGAGAAAACTGAAGTCATTGCGTTTGGGAACATAGATGAGGTTCTCAAGTTAAATGCGTACCTTGGCTTTAAAGGTCAAATATCAAAAAATAACGTCAAGAATCTTGGTGAGATCTAAGTTAGATCTAAGTTTCAATAGTTATGTCAAAGCAGTTAGTAGATCAGCATACTATCATTTTAAAAACATTGCAAAAATTAGATGCTTTGTATCCATTGAGAACTTGAAACTTGTTGAAACAAAAAGACAGTCAGACAGTTGCAGCTCATCCAGAACACTGCAGTCAGATGTAACGAATAAGGCCTACTAGGCGCATAATTATTTTGCTGTTATTCGACAAATGATCCAGCAAAGCACCAACTTCTGAAAGAAAAGATTAGATGGTCAGTTGTAATCTGATTCCAAGGTATTTATGACCCAAAGGAATGTGCCACAGCACTGAACAGACTTGGTCAGGACTACTATAATATAATATTAATAATATAATATAATATTGCTGAGACTGATGTTTTAATGTAAACTTTATTCTCTCTTTGTGTGCAATAATGTGTTTTGCAACGTTTCCCTTACTCCTGTATTAATATTATGGTTTTAATACTTCTGCACATAATGTTCAACTCTACCGAAGCTAAACAAGCTCGTAAACAGTTCATGTTTGGAGGCGTTTCAAAACTAATTTGGTGTACTGAACGATTGTTTACATTTTATGTTAATACAAGTGCAACATATTAACATTTTAAGAGACTTTAACATTTTTGCCTTAATTTGCATCAAATTGCCTATGAAAATTCCTCTACTTCGGACAAAGGGTCATAGAACCATGTCTCAGGGAAGTTAGTTTCTGATTGGTCAACTTGGCCTAAAGGGTGGATATGAACCCTCCCTATAAAACTTGTGTCCAAAGCAATGCCTTCAAGTCAACTCTTCTCAAGTTATGTTAAGTCAAGACAAAGACCTAAGCAGAGAAACCTCCAAGAAAGCAGTGACCCAGTAACATCAGGCCAGAGAAAGGCTTGAACCCAGAGGACACTAGGGAGTGGGCAGGGACCCAGACGAAATGGGTTAAACGCACAGCTCAGACATTCACATCTCCGATACCTTCTTTTCTTTATTTTTCATCGAGAGTCTAGTTAAGTTTAGTGCGCCACAAACCAGTAGCC